CATAATGTGGGTTTAGAAACAGATCTTAGGAAATCGGAAAATCTCTCTCAAATATTACTATTCGAATTTATGAGAAATACAAAAACCGTATTTTCCAGTTTATTTTCGTTTCGACCAATTTCAGGAGTCTGGAGCTCGGCGGTCCAGTTTTCGACCACTTTGAAAGTTTGGAGGGTGTGAAACAGACCTAGATTAAAACCTTTGCATTCACAGAATTTTTGAAAATTTTGAGTTTTTCTGATATTTGTCGATTTCTGAAAGACATCCCCTTTTGGCATGTTTTTTTACTGAAAACGGGAAAAAAATATGTCTTCCAGAAAGGCAAAAAGCTGAAAAACTAGGAATTTTCAAAAAGTACTGTGAGTGCAAAGTTTTTAATCTATGTCTGTTTTAAACCATCCAAAGCTTTCAAAGTGATCGAAAACTTGACAGCCGAGTTCAAGGCTCCTGAAAATAGCCAGAATGGCTAAAAATCAACTTAAAAACACGTGTTTGTATATTTTATTTAACTGTACTGTAGCATAAGGATTTAAAAAAACCCGTAATTTGAATAGTAATATCTGAACCAGCTTTTTCGATTTGACAATATTAGTACTGTAAACTTTAAAAATTGAAATTTCCAAAGCTGAAAAGATTTAATTGCAGTTGTTTAAAGGTTTTCCGAAAACCCTGAAATTTAATCATTTTGAAATATCTGCTGGTGTATTAGATTCTGCGTATCTGAATAGGAATGTCTGTTGCTAACTTTTGATAACCTTATTCTAGGGTATAATAAGACGCTCAATTATCTCGGTTCCTATGAGAGATATCAAAAAGTGGTCCACTGATAAATTATTTGTCGTAATATCACCAATATTTATTAGAGGACAGATTGCTGCTATATTTTACAGAAGCCGAGATAATTGAGCTAAAATGTACATATAAGTTGGGTTCTTATTAGAGGAAGTACGGTAGACGCCACCCACACACTTGAACTTTGAGCTCAATCATTTCGATACCTGTAGAAGATATCGAAAAAATGATCAATGGATAAATCATTCATCATATTATCAGAAATATTTTGTCAGTTGTCAAATTTGTGATATTTCTTATAGGAAACGAAATAATTGAGCTCGAAGTAGTATATATCCAGAATTTTTGATATCCGGAAAAAAAACATTTCCACATCCTGTCATTTTTTCCGATTCTTCCTTTGTTTCGAAATTTCTGAATCTCTTCTATTTCCCTCACATCCATAACAATAAACTGTGTTGAGTGAAACAGTTATATAATACGAGTAATCCCGCCTAAACCCGCGAACAAGTTTCTCTTTCTTCTATTGTTCTCTACTTTTCTCTTCGTCTCTCCATCTCTCACAATCCTCTGGAAACCCTCCTCATTATCTTCTTCTTTTTCCACACAAAATATTCTGATTTTTGCCTTTCAATTCTAATTCAATCCGTCTACACACTCTCACCTGATAATGTTTGATTATTAAAAATGAAAAGTGACGAGAGGGAAAAAGAGGTAAGAGAGAGGAAGAGAGAAGAGAGTGGTCAAACTAGTATGTTCCATTTCTTGATTGTTATATGTTTATGATCAGAATGCAAAAAAAGTCGAAGAATGTTTGGTGCCACTTGAAATTCTCCTTCCACTTGATTCGTGATTCTTGTAGACTGTAGTAGTCATTGTTCGCCAACTTTCTAAAGTTTTGAAATTATTTGAAAACAGCCTTATAAATAGTTTTTTTCTGCAATGTTTTTTTTTTGAATTTTATAATTGTCAAATTTGAGATTTAGATTTTTTTGAAAGTAATTTTCATAACACCTGCTTTCTGGGATTTACAAAAACCAGAAATACTGTATCTCTTCTGATGGCATACCCACCAAGTACTCGTTTTTTCTAGCCACTGTAGTTCACAGATATGCGTCTTTGAAATTTTTTTATTCTTAGAGCAATGGCTGTATCTTTTTTGTTCCAAACTTGATCATGAAATTTTTACAAGAATCAAAAATAGTCATGATTTTTGAAAACCTAGTTTTGATTTTACATATTGTTCCTTCCAATTTTTCTAGATCATTTTTCTTTTTTTCTCATTTTTTTAAATTTACAATTTCTTTGATATCGATCCACATAACAGCTTATTAAAGCAAAATCTGAAAAAAACGCGAAATTTTTCAGAAGTCGTTACGGTTACCGACGTCATCTTCCAACGTGGATGACGACAAACAAGAAAGGTGTCAGGAGCACAAAGCACTGTTGACGTCGTCTTCAAATTTTTCAGAATCAGAAACAAGTGAGTCTTAAAATTGTATTTTTGTGGGTGTGGCTTTTCAAAATGGCTCCAAAAGTTGTTTTTCTGTAAACGCTTCAATTTTTCAGTACTTTGACTTTGAGCTCAATTATCTCAGTTTCTATAAGAAATATCAAAATTTTGTCAACTGATAAAATGTTTATCATAATATTGACAATATTTTATTTGTCGACAAGTTTTTGATATCTCTTATGGGAACTGAGATAATTCAGTAGAAGCGTTCTATTAAAGCATTTACGGTTCTCTCTCTCTCTTTCTCTCTCTCTCTCTCTCTCCCTCTCCCTCTCTATCACTCATTATAGGTTTTGTGGTTTCGAAAAATGAATAGGTGAGAGAAGACAATGGAAAAGAGATTATCGAGGAAAATTGACATTCAAAACTTTATTTTATACTCTCTGGTATATACAGACGAACATGAAATTTGGTTTTTTTTTCTGTATGGATTTTTTTGACTAGAATTTTATTTTTCTAGAATTGTCATCAATAAAATTGGGTGTGTGAGGTGCGCCTTTTTTGATGACAGAAAAATACTTTTTAGAAGGAATTGAGGAAAAGCAAACTATAAGTTCTGCGAGGGGGGTGTGGTTGTGGGTCTTATCAGTTTTAACGCCCCTTACTACGTCCTTTCTGATGTCGTATATTTTCCGACTCGATGATTTCAGAACTCCGCCTTATAAGGTATTGACCTATATTGTTTCATAAAAATTAAAAATTCCCTACAGTTTCTAAAATTTGAAGGCATTTTTTGAGCAATGTTGTGGAGCAATGCGCAAGGTACTTATTTTGAAAATCTTTAGATTTTATGAAAAATGGGAACTATTTTATAATTGTTATCGCTGTATTTTTGTACCGGACAAAAATACCGTTTTCAGAGTTTTCCAGGGGAAAATAGTCAAATTTGGAGCCCTAAAAATGGATTCAAAGTTTTATGATTTGTCTGAAAATGCCAGGATTTACGAAACATACAACTATGTGAACTTTTGTAATTGACAACTTCCTCGCTTTTTTGTATTCGTACAAAAAACTTGTCAATTATCAAAATGAAGCTCTATTTCCGTTTAGAAAATTTGAAAAGTTTCATTTTAATTGAACGTTTCTAGGTTACTTTTTCAGGACTTCAAAGTTGAACTACCGTATTTTCGATAACAGAAGCCCACCTAATTTTGAGCTCATTTATCTCAATTCTTGTCAAAGATATGGAAAGTTGTTGACTAATAAATTATTTAACATAATATCACAAATATTTTATCAGTTAAAAACTTTTTGATATCTCTTATAAGAACCGAGATAATTGAGCTCAAAGTTTACATATAGAAAATACGGTATCTCTCAGACATGAGGAAAATCCGAAAATTCTCTACTTCCTAATATATTTTGAATGTCTGTCTATTTTATGTTTTTGAATGACATCTTCAAAAATTGTATTTCGAAAGTCAACAAAAACATGATTCATGTTGCTTCTTGCGAGTATAAAAATGTACGAACTCATTTTTTGAATTCATTGGATCTCAGAATTCAGTTGAGGTTCGAAACAATGAAGATTTCAAAATTTTGAAATTTGGTTCATTAATTTTTTGGAATGATAAACCATTTTTCGCAATTTTATAAGGCTGAAATCTATTGAGGCTCTTGGAACCAAAAAAATTTCTCAAAATTCGCAAAACTTTAATGACTCATAAATGTTTGGAACAAAAAACCAAACCTATGTTTATCACTAGTTTTGTTAATTGATTATCGACTTTTTCAATTATCAAAAATCAGTTGACTCTGTAACTTATAGTCAACTGATTGAGAAGTTTGCTCACCTGTCTATTTTTGGTTTCCCGCTTATCTTCGAAATGTTGCTGAACAGTAGGCGTCGTATAGGTTAACGATTTTCATTTTCTTCTTGATCATTCCAAAAATGTCTTCCAAATCTTCTGACGATGACAAGATTAAAGGTACATTTTGAGAAATCGTAAAATCCAAGAATCCAGTAGTCTAGGGTGCCAGGGGATTATGAAGGGGATACCTACATTTTTCATTTTCCATTCATAATCTCTAACCCTATTTCTATTCCATCCCGCATTTTCCATTGTCTCCTCAAGGAATAGGATTAGATTTTTGGACTAGGAAGTGGGAATTCCCAAGTTTGTATTTTTATTATTTTGGAGTTCATCGAAAATTCCTGATTTGAAACTTGCAGTTTTGAATAACGTAAAACCTATAATTGAGCCAATTTATCTCGGTTGCTGTCGAAGATATCAAAAAGTTATCAACTGATAAATTGTTTATCATGACAGCACCAATATTTAATTAGTGGGCACTTTTTTTATATCTTGAATAGAAACCGAGATAATTGAGCTCTAACTTGACAGTCTGGGAGCCCTTCTATTACAGGTTTTACGGTAATCATCGAGGTTCAGATATTCTGAAAATTTGAAATCTTAAAGATTTTAAAAATTGCGAAATTTAAAATTTGAGAAAAATACAATTATATTAATTTCCGGCGTTCTGAATCTCAAAATCTTTTTCAAAATTTCAGAATTTTTAGAGTTTCGATGTTTCGAAATTCCAAATTCTGTGAGTTCCGAGTTTTTGCGATTTTTCCAAATATTGGAAATTCTGATATTTCTAAGGATTTGTTAAAAATTGAAAATTCCGAAATTTTGAAATCTCGAAAATCTAAAAATCCCTCTTCATATCGCTCCTCTGTAACTTATCCATCATGTTCTACGTTTTACTTTTCTCCTCTCACTTTTTTGTTTGTGAGACCCCCTTCTCGTTTTTTATATATTCGTCTACTTTCAATCCAATTATATCCTCCCCACCGTTTTCCGGTGTTCTCTGTTACTATGTGTTTTATGTGGTCGTATAATATCCTCATTTTTTGGGATGGGTCTATTTCTGTGAAATTTCGTTTCTTGAAACTATCCTCTTCGTGGGTTTAAGTTTTCTAGGCCGTTTTTTAAGTTTTCTAGGCCATCAAAAAAATGTTTTTTATAATTGTAGATTGAACATTTGAACCATTTTGTACTCCAAAAGTATAGTTTACATTTTTAAATCCACCGATTCAAGGACGGTGAATAAGAGTACAAAATGTTTTGAGATTATATTTTTCTCTCTTTTTGAAATTTGTAGGTCGCTCTCCCTCCCCCTCAACATCCAAGTCATAACATATGTATGCCTGTACATAACATTTTTTGAATATCGTCAGATGGTTTTTCAAAGTTCAAATGTTCTAAAAAGTTCGGTTTCATTTTGAAATAATAAAAAGTTTATAACACCTGCTAGTTTGAAAAATTGTGTTATTTGATTTTCGATTTTGGACCAGAACTTTTGAAGAAATGAAAATTAGTTTTTTTCTGATCTTTGTTGTTTTTTTAGAATTCTTCACGACGATTTTGAACCGAATTACAGCGATTCGGAGTTGTATAGTCAAAGACGCAGAGAAAGGAGAGCACTCTCGTTTCTCTGCGTCTCTCTATGAAATTTCAAATGATCATAACTTGTCTCAGAATTGGCATAAATGACTAATTTTTGATGTTTTTTTAAGAGAATTTTCTCAAATTTTAGAAAACTCAATAATGCTGAAACTGATACTTTCTGAAAATTATTAAAATCACATAAATTATATTTGAGTTAGAATTTCGACAACCTAGAGGTTTTTGTCACAAAATAAATATCTAGATGATCAAAAGACACAATTTTAAAAATCTTCAATTTGACACCAGAAAACATGAGACTAATTTCACCCTAAAACCTTCAATAGAAGGGCTCTCTAACTATTGACTTCGAGCCAATTTATCTCGGTACCTGTTAAAGGTATAAAAAAGTTGTCAACTAACAAATTGTTTAATGTTTAACATATCAGAAACATTTTATCAGTTAACACAATTTTGATATCTTTTACAGGAACCGAAGGGACCCTTCTATTACAGGTTTTACGGTAATTGAAAATCTACACAATTATCTTCATGGTCCTCTTGTTTCTAGTGTTTCAAACTTGAAATACCAAAACTCAAATATATCAATTTTCCCCTTCCATTTATAACTGAAAATCGTGCGTCAGACTCTTATCATCTGTCTAGCCTCTCCCTCTTCTTTCAAAATGGAATTTTTCGGGAATGCTTCTAATTGCCTTATCAGTCACCCACCACTCGATTCTTAAACTTTCAACGCGTTTCTATATTTGTATGTGCCTTGAACTGTCTAGTTTTATGGGCAGCTTCGAAAAATCGATTCTAGAACATCTCCTATTGTTTCGAAAGATTTTTAAAACATCTCTCTGAGCATCTCTTCAAAGATCCGTACCACTTTTTTCTGCTCCTTTCAAAAGTCACATTTTCTTCCCCCCTCTGTCCATCTGTCAGAATTCCTTAGCAACTCGGAAAACGGGCGTCCAACTAGAATTATGTATTTTTGCCAGTTCCCATTCTCAGCTTTTGTTTTTTTCCCGTTGCTTTTTTTGTGCATTGAAGCCGAAAAAAAGAAAAAAAGAAGAAAAAGAAAGAAGAGATCGGGACCAGAAAAAAGAGAGCGAAAGATCTCTTTTTTGACTTTTGAAGGTGATGAGGTCGATGACCTCATCGTTTTCAAGATTTAATATTTAATTTAAAAATTAAAAAAAATGTTTTTCAGTGTTCGGCGACAAACTGGAGTCTCAGGCTCTGCAAAAAGGCTGCGAGGAGGACATCGAAAAGCATTGTAGACGGTGTATTGGTGAGTTGTGACGGCCTAGGAATCGAATCCAGGGGTGTCCTAGAAACCCAACTAGTGATGGCCTAGAAGTCCAAATAGAGGCCTAGAATCCCTTGGCTCAGAATTACAAACAATAGAGATCTAGAATCCCAAAAAATAGTGGCCTAGAATCCCGAATGAAAACTTAGAATCCCCAGGCCCAGAATCCCAAAACATAGTGTCCTAGAACCCCAGAGTGGCGGCCTTGAATCCCAAATAGAGGCTTAGAATCCCAAAAAATAGTTGCCTAGAATCCCAAAACATAGTGGCCTACAATACCAAATAGAAGCTTAGAATACCTAGCCCCAGAATCCCAAAAATAGTGGCCTAGAAACCCAAATGGTGATGACCTAGGAACCCAATTATTGGTGGCCTAGAAACCCAAATGGAGGCCTAGAATCCCGAAAATTGTGACCTAGAATCCCAAATGGAGGCCTAGAAACCTAAATAATGGTAGTCTAGAATCTGGATTAGAGGCACATAATCCCTCGGCCTAAAATCCCAAAACATAGTAACCTAGAATTCCAAAAAATAGTGCTGTAGATTTCCGGAGCTAGGAGCAAGGCTGAGAAAAATCTCGGCCGCCCGCGGACACGGCCAGCCGTGGCCCTAGAACCTCAAAGTGGTCCAGAATCCCAAAAAGTGCCTAGATTGTTTAAAAATACACCCAGAACCCAAAACTCCCCCCGAAATGACCTGGTTTAGAATTTCGAAACCTTCTAGAATTTCAAAAGTTCTCAAGTTTTCTAAAGGGCCAAAAATTGAAAAGTTTTCGCTATTGGTGGCCCAAAATATTTCCTAGTCCCCATTCAAAAAAAAATTTTCCAGGCTACCCGACAATGCGAACGATGAACAAGCTGAAGAAATATGGAATGTACACACTATTCTTCATGTTCATTTTTCTGGTGGTCTTTCAGTTTTCAGAGGATGTGTAAGTTCATTAAAATTCGAGAAAAATAGTGTTTTATAGTTTTGGAACATTTTTCAGACGGCAACCTGCATATCCAGTGTTCAAGAGGTCTGAAACAAATCAGACGAATCGGATGATCATTGTGGTGACGCCGACGTACAAACGGATGACCAGAATTGCGGATATGTTACGGTATGTACAATGTGTTTGGCACTATTCAAACAAGAAGCTTTCAGAATGGCAAACACCCTGTCCCATGTCAAAGACCTCCATTGGATTGTGATAGAAGACGGAAACAAAACGATCCCGGCTGTTCAAGACATTCTGGATCGAACTGGCCTACCGTATACCTATCAAGCACACAAGACAGCGCTTGGATACCCAAGAAGAGGGTGGTATCAACGGACAATGGCTCTGAAATTGATTAGATCAAATACGTCACAGATTCTGGGACAGGATCATCAGGAAGGAGTCGTCTATTTCGGAGACGATGATAATTCGTATGACATTCGATTATTCACGGATTATATTAGGAATGTGAAGACACTTGGAATCTGGGCAGTCGGTAAGAATGGAAATTTCAGTGTAGTGCTTTTCCTATATGAATTTTCTAGGCCACCATGGTAAATGTCCTATAAAAGAGCAGGCATGGCCCGGTGTGTTTCTCTTGGTCATTTTAACGTGGTCGCCTGATTTTCGCAAGTTGGCTTTTTAGGTCACCACATTAAAATGAACTAGAAACGTCCTGTCATGCCCTGGTGTGTTTTCTAGGCCATTGAAGTGGTAACCCAACTTGCAAAAAATTAGGACACCACGTTAAATTGACCTAAAAACACACTACGGCTTGTAAGGTCATTTCTTGGCCTTTTTTTAATGGTGGCCTAGAAAACCCAACTTGCAAAAGTTAGGCCACCACTTCAAAATTACCTTAAAACACACCTGAGCCGTGTCAGACCATTTCTAAGCCATTTTACCATGGTGGCCTAGTAAACTGAATTAGCGAAAGCTAGGCCACCACTTCAAAACCGAGCACATTTTGGCATTTTTCGAATAGACACACAGGGAAATTGAACCTGCTTGCTTAATCCAAAAATGTCTTCCAGGTCTCGTCGGTGGTACTGTAGTTGAGGCGCCCAAAGTGGTCGACGGAAAAGTCACTGCATTCAACGTGAAATGGAACCCAAAACGTCGTTTCGCAGTTGATATGGCTGGATTTGCAGTTAATCTTAAGGTGGTTCTAAACTCTGATGCCGTATTCGGAACATCCTGTAAACGAGGCGGTGGTGCTCCAGAGACATGTCTTCTGGAAGATATGGGACTGGAAAGAGAAGATATCGAACCATTTGGTTATGAGAAAACGGTAAGTGAATGGAACATCTGGATTCACATATTTATTTTTAAAATTCAATTTTTTTCAGAAAGACCGCGAAATCTTTGTTTGGCACACAAAAACGAGCACTCCAAACATTGTTCAATCCAAGAAGAACCAAACAAAACCAGTTCCACCGCCGGATACATTTGGCTATTTTGTTGAAGTGTAGATCGAATTTTTTAATCATATTTCCTGAATCCCCATTCCCATTGTCTTTTTCAAAACGGGTGTACCACCTCCTCAACCGTGTAATTTTCCATTTCCTAGACGCTTCCAAAAAATACATCTTCTTCTGTTTCGGGTTTATTCTTCTTTTTATGTGCTTCTTGTTCTCTCTTGCGTTTCTATGTCAATTTTCGGTTTTTTTTTCTTAATGATTTTTTGAATGTCAGTTTTATAAACTGTTTTATGATTGTGATGGATGTGAATCAACAGCAGAGAAAAAGTGAAGGAATTCAGAATTTTCGAAAAAAAATTCTATTGGAATTTTCATTTGGCATTGGTGCATTCTAGGAATCATCTTTTTTCTACACTTTCAGTAACATCTATGTACTATCACTTTCTAAGTATTTGTCATGCACTTATCGAACAGCTGGTTCCAGTCAAAAGAGTTAACCCTCTCTCTAAAAAACATTCCTTGCATGAGTATTCTTGAGTATGGTACAATTGTTTTCTCCCCCGTCCTCAAGGAGCAAATCAAGCTTCTTGAAGGCATTTTTTAATGTACAGCGAATGTAATATGGGTGGCGTCTTAGATGATTATGATGAAACGGGACAATGAATAGGTTATGGGCAATTGCAATTTCCCGGGAAACTAGAGCTTTATACATAAAAACTAGATCGGATAGAAGTCGACGGTACTCTAAGAATTCTAAATTGTGATCACGGAGACAATCAAAGTAGGATATATAGGGATAGTTGAACTTCTTGTAATATCGGAACAGGAATGACTTTTGGACGCCTTCAAGAAGCTTGATTTGCTCCTTGAGGACGGGGGAGAAAACAATTGTACCATACTCAAGAATGGGGCGAATGTAGATGACAAAACATTTTAAGAAAATATCCATTTTAGACCGGCGGAGAACATTAAAGAAAATGTTAATTCGTTGGTGTGCTTTCCGGAGTGTGGTAGCGAAGTGGTCAGAGAAGGTCAGTGACGAATTGAGAATGACTCCCAAATCACGAATCCTCTGAACAGTTGACAATCTCTCGTCGTTAATTGAAAAATGATTGTTAGTGTTATTAAGACTTCTTTTATGAGAGAAAGAGATAGCTTCACATTTAGTGGGTGCAACACTCATTTGTCATGTATACCACCAGTTCTCCAGTTTTTCCAGATCACTTTCAATATGCATTGGGTTAGTAGAAAATAGTTTCAAGTCATCAGCATAGAGTAGAAAGTTGGAAGAAAAGTTATCTTCTATGTCGTTAATGAAAATGAGAAACAGAAGCGGTCCGAGAACTGAGCCTTGAGGAACACCCGAAAGGACTTCCGTCTCTCTGGACAGCTTGCCATTCACGATTACTCGTTGTGTTCTGCCAATGAGAAAAGAGGAAAGTCAATTGTGCATTTTAGAGACTATGCCATAAGATGTTAGTTTAAGCATGAGCTTTTTAAAGGAAACAGTATCGAAAGCTTTTTTGAAATCAATGTACACACTATGCGTTGTATTTTTGGAAACGTGATTATTGAGCAAGAATGCTTGATAAGAAAGCAACTGGGATTGTGTTCCTCGGTTGGAACGGAATCCAAATTGGCAGTTAGTAAGAAGATTGTTGTCGTCAAGAAAAGAGATAAGGTGTTTGTGAATAATCTTCTCCATTAGCTTGCCGACAGATGATGTTAGTGAAATAGGTTTGGGTCAGTCTTGGTTCCTTTTTTGTGGAGTGGCCTAACTATAGCGGTTTTCCAACTTGGAGGAACACATGCAGTACGATAAGATTTTCGAAAGATTATTGATAGAGGAATAGATATTAGAAAGATTATTGATAGAGGAATAGATATATATGGTAGCAGTACACGTTTTCTTAAGGAAAATTGCGGGAAGCTTGTCGGGGTGGTGTTAACTTTAGGGGCTAGTTTGCCGAGCATTAGTTCAAGCAAGCATGGGTCAAATTCGGGGTAGCTTATTTGTGATTTCTATAGTTTCCGTTTCTTCAGTACGAAGCAGAGATTTGAGCTGGTTAGATATGAGTTTGTATTCAGAAGAATTTACTTCTTTCCGCCATATGATAAGCTTTCGTTTCTGCAGTTTTCGGGCATGCAAGGAATGTTTTTTAGAGAGAGGGTTAACTCTTTTGACTGGAACCAGCTGTTCGATAAGTGCATGACAAATACTTAGAAAGTGATAGTACATAGATGTTACTGAAAGTGTAGAAAAAAGATGATTCCTAGAATGCACCAATGCCAAATGAAAATTCCAATAGAATTTTTTTTCGAAAATTCTGAATTCCTTCACTTTTTCTCTGCTGTTGATTCACATCCATCACAATCATAAAACAGTTTATAAAACTGACATTCAAAAAATCATTAAGAAAAAAAAAACCGAAAATTGACATAGAAACGCAAGAGAGAACAAGAAGCACATAAAAAGAAGAATAAACCCGAAACAGAAGAAGATATATTTTTTGGAAGCGTCTAGGAAATGGAAAATTACACGGTTGAGGAGGTGGTACACCCGTTTTGAAAAAGACAATGGGAATGGGGATTCAGGAAATATGATTAAAAAATTCGATCTACACTTCAACAAAATAGCCAAATGTATCCGGCGGTGGAACTGGTTTTGTTTGGTTCTTCTTGGATTGAACAATGTTTGGAGTGCTCGTTTTTGTGTGCCAAACAAAGATTTCGCGGTCTTTCTGAAAAAAATTGAATTTTAAAAATAAATATGTGAATCCAGATGTTCCATTCACTTACCGTTTTCTCATAACCAAATGGTTCGATATCTTCTCTTTCCAGTCCCATATCTTCCAGAAGACATGTCTCTGGAGCACCACCGCCTCGTTTACAGGATGTTCCGAATACGGCATCAGAGTTTAGAACCACCTTAAGATTAACTGCAAATCCAGCCATATCAACTGCGAAACGACGTTTTGGGTTCCATTTCACGTTGAATGCAGTGACTTTTCCGTCGACCACTTTGGGCGCCTCAACTACAGTACCACCGACGAGACCTGGAAGACATTTTTGGATTAAGCAAGCAGGTTCAATTTCCCTGTGTGTCTATTCGAAAAATGCCAAAATGTGCTCGGTTTTGAAGTGGTGGCCTAGCTTTCGCTAATTCAGTTTACTAGATTAAAAAATTCGATCTACACTTCAACAAAATAGCCAAATGTATCCGGCGGTGGAACTGGTTTTGTTTGGTTCTTCTTGGATTGAACAATGTTTGGAGTGCTCGTTTTTGTGTGCCAAACAAAGATTTCGCGGTCTTTCTGAAAAAAATTGAATTTTAAAAATAAATATGTGAATCCAGATGTTCCATTCACCTCTCCCTCGCATCCAAACGGTTCGATATCCTCTCTTTCTAGACCCAAATCATCCAAAAAAAACGTCTCAGGAGATCCTTTTCCACGTTGCAAGAAGTTCCAAAAACAGCTGTCGAGTTGAGGATCACTTTCAGATTGACTGCATATCCAGCCATGTCAACTGCGAATTTCCGAGTAGGATGCCATATAACGTTATATCCAGTGACAGTTCCATTTGTGACTTTTGGTGCTTCCACGAGGACGTCGTACATTAGTCCTGAAAATGGGATGTGAGGAATACAATGGCCTAATTTTCTCAATATGGTTTTTCTCGGCGACCATATGTAGTTGATGGTCCACAAATTGTCTGATATTCACCTCGTGTGTTTTTTAGGTCTTTCTAACATAGTGTCCTAACATTTGCCAGTGGAGTTCTCTAGGCGACAATGGTAAACGTCCTAGTATGGACTTGATATTCACCTAGTATATTTTCTAGACCATTTACCATGGTGGNCTGGAAAAATCATTTGGGGAAGTAGGTCATAATGTTAGAATGGTCTAAGCAAGCTGACCTGTAATTCTCACCTACTGGCCACATTCCCAGCTTCTTCACATGCCTGATATAATCCGTAATAAATCGATATCATACGAATTATCATCATCTCCAAAAATAGTACTCTTTCTGTATGCTCCGATCCAGCATTTCTTCCCAATAGACCTAATGACCTCAAAGCCATCGTCCGTTGATACCACCCTCTCTTCGGATATCNTACAGCTGTCTTATGCGCCATATAGATATACGGTAGATTGGTTCGCTTCAGGATTTTCACGATAGCAGGCACAATTTGGGGCCCGTCTTCTATCACTATCCAGTGAAGATCTTTGACATGGGCCAGGGTGTTGGCCATTCTGGAAAATTTTGAGGGGGGTTGGAAAGCTCTAGAAATCTCTGAAAAGTCTTTACCGTAACAAATCAGGAATTCTGGTGAGTCGTTTGTAAGTGGGTGTCACCACAATTATCATTGGTTGTTTTGTGGGAAGACTGCAAAAGTACTACTGTAGTTTTTTTGGAAAATCCTACTTGGCACTTACAGGTACAGAAAACAAACTGCTGTCACAAACAATATAAACAAAAGTACATAAAACCCATTTTCTAGAATTTTTTTTAATTTTGATTTTTCTGAAAATTAGAGAATACAAAAAAACAATTCCAGGTAGCTCACCATCCAGATTCGTCATTTCAGCTTCAGTTTTAGGAAGCCACGAATTAGATATATGAATAAAATTTAATTTGATTTTCAAAATTTTTCACGGGAACTAGGAATTTGGGTTTTTCAGACCATGACCTAGATATCTACCGTATTAATAATTGAAGCTTATTGCCTGCACTTTAAGCTCAATTGTCTCGCTTCCTATGAGAGATATCAATACTTTGTCAACTGATAAATTATTTATCATAATATCACTAACATTTTATCAGTTGACAGATTTTTGACATCTCTAATAGGAGTCGAGATAATTAAGTTCAAAGTGTAGAGGTTCTACTGAGCACTAGAGCATAGCTTTGACCTTAAATACAATGGCCTAGACTTTCTTGTGGTCTAGAACTCCAAAATAGCCGAAAATCCTGAGCGGGACAACTTCGATAGAGCGCGTTTGATACAGTCCGAGTTAGGTGGAGCGCACTTTCCACATATTCATCGAACGGAGGGCTTTAACATTTTGTTAGAGTTCATTTGCCCCAAATGCATTTTTTTTGAAAAATTCTCGAATTGCTGTACTTTAGGCCCATGCAGCAAATTATCAATAGAGCATACTTGTAATTCATGACCTTGTAATTCTGGACCTTGTAATCTCCTCTGATGATCTTCCTCTTTCTAATGTCGCCGTCGAGCCTCCACTGCTTAACTCTGACCACTTTGCCGTCAAGTTCCACATTCTTCCTACCACTCTCACTCCTCTATCTCCATCCATATCTCGCCCTCGTTTATGGTTCAAGAAATGCAATTTGCGCTCCCTCAACTCCGATCTCGCCACCATCGACTGGGACCTCTCATTTAGTACTTTGCCTTCTCCTTCCGAAAAATTCACTAAATTTATTGATATTCTTTCCACACTTATTCGTAATCATACTCCTCTGCTTCCTCCACCCAAATCCAAAACCTTTTCTCTACCATTTCGAAAGCTTAAACGGGCAAGGCACCTCTACTCCAAGCTTCTTAAAACTCCAACTACGGCTCCCAGGAAAATTCTCCATGTTCGAACTCGTATCAAATTTCTCATTCGAACAATCAATAAGAAAATGGTAAGTGACGAATTCCGAATACTCTCAGCCCCACACTGTCGTGCTGTCCGCGCCTCATCAAAAGTAGAATTAGATCTTCACCTAAAGTCCCACCTCTTTCTGCTAATTGCTGTCTTATAACTTCTGAACACGAAAAATCCACCCTTTTCACCAAAACATTCTCTTCTAATTATAATCATCTCACTTCATCCGCATCCATCACTCCCGCAATAAGTCATCAGTATCTTCCTTTTTCTGGCTCTGACCTTGAAATCTTCGATCCCTGGATAATCGAGAAGCTTCTTCGCAAACTCCCGCCTCGTTGTGGCTATTCTCCCCATTCGGCCAATTACTTTATCATTAAAAAATGCGCCACTCATTACCTTTATCGATTATCTTCTCTGACTCACTCTCCACATCACATGTACCCGACTCTTGGAAACACGCAGTAGTCGTTCCCATACCAAAAAAGGGTTCTCCTTCATCGCCCGAAAACTATCGCCCCATTTCGCTTACTGACCCATTCGCTCGAATTTTCGAACGATTGGTATGTGATCGCATCAAATGGGAATTCCTCCATCAATTCAGTAGTCTTCAACATGGTTTTCTCTCCTACAGATCCTGCACCACCTCTCTAGTTCAATCTGTCTCGAATTATAAAACTACTCTTTTGAAATATAATACCCTAGACGTCGTCTTTTTCGATTTCCGCAAAGCCTTCGACCAGGTACATCATCAACTTCTCATCCAGAACCTTGCTAGCTTTGGAGTCCCTAAATCTTACGTAGCTTGGTTCTCCTCGTTTCTCTCTGGTCGAACGTTCTCTGTCAAAATCTATTATTTTATTGGACCCCCTTCCTCTGTCATTCCCTCTGGTGTTCCTCAAGGATCAGTCTCCGGTCCCTTACTATTTCTCATCTTCATCAATGATCTGCTCTTAGAACTTGAACAAATCCCCTCTCTTCACCTTGCCGCCTTTGCTGATGATATCAAATTGTATTCTCATGACCCAATCGCCCTTCAAACTGGTATCAACATGGTTGTAAATTGGGCTACCGCCAACCATCTCCCTCTTGCCCACTCTAAAACTGCCCTTCTTCGCCTAGGTTCCCATAATTCTTCCCATCCTCTCAATATTGCGGGTATCGCTCTTACTCCCTCCTCCTCCGTCCGGGACTTGGGACTCATTACTGATTCCTCTCTCAAATTCTCTGCTCACATCAACAAAATCACATCTTTAGCTCTTCTCCGTTCCAAACAACTCTTAAAGTCATTTAGATCTAATTCACCAAAATTCTACATTCATCTGTTCAAATGTTATGTTCTCCCGATTCTTGAATATTGTTCTGTAGTTTATTCCCCTCCGCCTTCTTCTCGCCTTGCTCTAAAACTAGAATATCCCTTAAGATTTTTCTCTAAGTGTATTTTCCAGCGTTGTAATATCCAGTACAGTTCCTTTTCTGATCGTCTCTCTATCCTCAATATGTTCTCCATTCGACATCGTAGGCTAAAAGCTCAACTAATTCTTCTCTATAAATTTTTAAATGGCTCTGCTTACTTTCCTAACCTAAATGGACATGTCAAATACTCCTCCTCCCCTCGTCGCCCTATGAACTTAATTATTGTTCAGTCCTACTCCTCTGACTATTTTTCTCCAATTGTTCCCCTGTGGAACGCAATCACTTCCCAAGTTACCCGATTTCTCCTACCTTCCGAGTTTGAATCCTTAATTTCTTCCAGTATTACCCGTTATTGATATATTTGCTCCCCTATTTTTCTTTTTCTACCGGTTACATCTTTCCTGTGTCAAATATCTAAATTATCCCATTTCCCCTCCCCTACTCAGATCGGCCTCGTGAGGGGCATTTTTCTGATTGTGAGATTAAAATGATGACAAATCTCATATAAGTTTCCACACATTTCCTCTTTTGTTTAATTTTTTTTTGTTGTGACCTCTTCAAAAAAAATTCCTTCTTTTATTTGACGTGGCAGAAATGAGCAGGCGATATAGATTTTCACTGTTTTTCGGCCAGCTTTCCAATGTGGCCTAACTTCCCAAAAGAACGGTTTTCTCTTCCAGGATTGTTCAACACTCGAAAGCTGAACAATCCCCGTTTAGTCCCTCTTTATGTAGGTCTCATTGTGTTTCTTTGTCTTATTGCACTCCATCATTCTACATACATGTAAGATGTGCAGGTACAGTAATTTGAAAGTAACTGAGAAGTTTCAGAAAAGGAACACTCATGGTTGAGTCATCGGAGTCTGTAATGGTCATCGTAGTGACGCCCACCTACAAAAGATACACTAGAGTACCGGATATGATAAGGTAAGTAACTCAAAACATGATTTTCAATTTCCCTGGGTCGACTTACCGTAAAACCTCTGATATAAGGGCTCCCAGACTGTCAACCTTGAGCTCAATTATCTGGGTTCCTTTGAAAGATATCAATAAAAATTTCCAACTGACAAATCACTTCTGATATTATGATAAACAGTTGATCAGTTGACACCTTTTCATATCATTAACAGGAACCGAGATAAATTATTTAGTTTATTCTAAACTTTATTCTGGAACTTTTAGAATGGCTAACACCCTGGCTCATGTGAAAAATCTCTACTGGATCGTAATTGAAGACGGAAACAAGACATCTCAAGCTGTTAAGGATATTCTTGACGGAACGGGACTACAGTACACCTACATGGCTTATCCGACAGCTAAAGGATTTCCGAAAAAAGGATGGTATCAACGGACGATGGCTTTGAGATTCATTCGATCCAATACAGAGCAGATTGTGGGACCGAGTAAAAATGGTGTCGTCTATTTTGGAGATGATGATAATTCGTATGATATTCGACTATTTACGGATTATATTATGAATGTGAAGAAGCTGGGGATATGGGCAGTTGGTGAGAATTTTTTGGTCAAGATTTTTTCGATTTTTGACATTTCAAGCAGTGTGTGATTTTCGTTATGTTCGAACGAAAAATAGTCTAACATGCACCTTGTGTGTTTTCTAGGCCATTTTAACGTGATGGCCTAACTTTGCAGGTTGAGTTTTATAAGTTATCAAGGTGAGTTGTCTAGGAATGGCCTGATACTCACCTGATGCAGTTTCTTAAATATCTTACCATAGTGGCCAAACTTTTGCAAGCAAAGTTTTCTAGGCCAGTGTTGTATGGCCTAGAAGTTGCCTGAAATATATCTGGAGTGTTTTGTGGGACATTTTAACATGGTAGCGTACTACCTTTACAAAGATTTCTAGGCCACCAATTTCTATATTCAGAAAATTCGTCTGAAAACTGTGAGAACCAATTTTTGAAGTTTTGCGAAATTTCGTTCGGAAATTTTTCGAAAAAGAAGCACTGATCTGAAAGCTTCTAATTTCCAGGTTACTGTGGTGGTAGTCCAGTGGAGGCACCAAATGTGACTGATGGAAAAGTGCCTTCATTCAATGTTCAGTGGAGCCCAAAACGAGTATTTGCGGTTGATATGGCTGGATTTGCAGTCAATCTAAAAGTGGTTCTCAACTCGGATGCCGAATTCGGAACATTTTGTAAACGAGGAACGGGCGCCCCGGAGACATGTCTTCTCGAAGATATGGGGTTGGATAGAACTGATATAGAGCCGTTTGGATGGGAGGGAAAGGTAAGGTCATCTGGATTTTCAGAAGAATATATATGGAGAATTTCAGGAGGGTCAACGAAAAATCTACGCATGGCACACAAAAACCCAACCGCCATACATCAAGGGAAAACTGGAAACATTTGGTTATCAAGTGGAAATTGAGTAGACCTAGTTATCAGTTATCATCAGTTTTGTTTTTTTTTTGTTCAAAAATAAATTTATTTTATTCAAAAAGAGATCAAAATGAAAATAAATATTTCTTGTTTTTTCATCTGCTCGGCAGTTGCTCAGCCCTTGCTTTTGTAATAATTCCAATATTTTTCGAAGAGTTCGGAACTGGTTGCCGGTTCAGAAGACCTGTAAGTTTAACTAAATTAAACAAAAAAATGTTGGATGCGTCATTTCGAAAGCCTACCAGTTTCATAAATAGATCTACCGATGAACTGTGACAGCGGATACTGGTCTAATCCGCCGAGACCACCGTATGGAGAGTAGATTGAAGACGTTCCAAGACCGCTGAGACCAGAGGCGCCTGGAAAATGAAATGGTACAGATTCATGTAGCACACCTAACTTTAAAGCATAGCTAGAAAACTAATGTAGCTAGAGAAATGTTATTAACCAGCCAGCTGGTGCGCCTTCGGCGCGATATTATTTAGTTTTTTACTTTTCACATTTTCTAAAGCACTTTGAGAAAATTTGAAATTACTTACAAGTCCCACAAGACAATGCACATGTCTGCCGCATTACCATCGCATTTGTAGCACATTGACCTGAAATTACAGTAATCCTAATTTTTAAACTACAAGAGAAAACTCCCAAACTCACCAGTACTGGCCCAAACCGAACACTGTGGATTCGTATCCATACACGCTCCATTCCCGTACATTCCACCGCCCATCATTGTCATCGGATTGGGACCACCGTATCTGCAAAGACTCCTGGATCTCATTGAAGGCAGTCCACGACAGTCGCGTTGACTTTCCGTGGGTGGATTTGTGGGAGAAGGTGAAGGAATCGGGAAATCAGGAGGTGGTGCGTTGGGAAGAATTCTGACAGGTTCCCCAAATTCAAAAAACTAAGGACCTTTTCACTCCAGAAATTTAGAAAAACTTACCCATATCCCATAAATGGTCCTCCATATGGCATACCGTATCCACCATAGCCTCCATATCCACCGTAACCTCCGTACCCACCATAGCCACCATACATACCATATTGGGCCAGACAAAGAGGAAGAAAGAGAATAGCTGGAAACTTTAATGGACTAGAAACCCAAAAAACATATTCAGTAAAACCTGAAATAGAAGGGCCCCACACTGTACAGAATGAGCTCTATTATCTCGGCGCCTATGCAAGATATAAAAAATATGTCAACTAATAAAATGTTTGCGATATTATGATAAACAATTTATCAGTTGACAGATTTTTGTTATCTTTTGTAGAAGTTGAGATAATATAGATCAATGCTGACAGGCCCTTCTATTACAGGTTTTACGGTTTATAGGCCACTCACCTAGTAATAACATCAGTCTTTTTAGTAAATAAGTTCAAAACCAAATATCCGGTCGTTGCCAGCCTTTTATACCTCCAACCGAAAATTCAAACTCGTTTTTCTTTTTTTTTTGGCTGACAGTTTTGTTTTTTAATCCCCTCGACATGTCATGTATTGGTTTCCTGCTATTCCACCCTCATATAATCTGTCCGGTTACCAAATGTACTAATGCCGGAGGAGCGAGAAAAAAACATTTTCCGAAGCAGATGTATGGTTTGTGGGTTAAATGATGATAGTGGAAATTTGTACGCCCGGAATCCAAAATTAAAAAATCCAAAATCCAGAGATTCAAGAATCCAATAATCCAAGAATTTTATTCCAAGCATTCGAAAATCTAAGAATCCAAAAATTAAGAATTCGAAAATTCGAGAATTCATAAAATCAAGAATTCAACAAATTCATTCAAGAAATTTTTAAAGAAAAGGTTTATCAAAGTCTTAAAATAAATAAACAGGATGAGAAGTGATTTTGCAAAAACAAGGACCAAAGTGGGCAAAAATTAACTATCCATTTTCTTCTCGTAGTTTCCAACAGTGACTCCTTCGACTGGTTTTGAGCAAACATCAAAGCTAGTTTTGAAACCAGAATTGAATTCCCAAAATTTTCCACAGAATTATCGACTTCACATGAGGAACATTTTTATCGTTCATGGTCTTGGCGGCCGCTGCATATAAACGATAATAAACAGTTCCTGATGAAGTGTTGAGAATGAGTGGCTGTGAAGTAACACTTGGTTTCAGATCAGTGAAATGGATAGCCTGAAAATAATTTTTCATGGTTCAAATCATCAGTTTTTCCTAGACTCGCCAGAAATTGCGGACAGATGGAAAAGGAATTTCCGTCCAAATATTTGACATCGAATTTTTGAAATTTCCGTTTCTGTTGAAAAGTGAATATTCAAACTTGAATGGATCAAACACTTTCATATCCGAATTAATCAGCGATTCTAGTAGAATTTCAGCTCTTCCTCCGATTCCATCGACAACTTGCAGTCCAAGACATGTTCCCACCAAGAACTTAATCATCACTCCAGTCCGAAATGCTTTTGACGGGTTACTAGATAGTTGATCCAAGGCCCGGGAGACGATTCGAAATGGCTGTTTTTCTTTTTCTAGGTTGTATTTATGAGATTGCATCATTACTTTCCAAATTGTTTCCTGTTAGAATTTCCAGGATTGCGACGAGGAAACATGTGCTTTTGTAATGCGTGAATGTTGCATCAGCCGACCTTCTCATGGCCAGAGCTTTCGGCATTCGTTCATCAATCCGTATGATTTCAAGATACTCAAAATCCATTTAATACAATACTCTCCATCTTCGCAAGTGTTCAGACAGACTTGGCTATCATAGCGAGATTTTCTGCTCATATGAGCAACGGTTCGTGAAAGTTGGTGGGCATATGACATTTCTTCCTTCAGAGCTTCCGATTCAGCAACCACTGTTAGTATCAACGCCCAGACTGTTTGAAATTGAAAAAAAACGCTAGACATTTGAGGAGGTACTGTATGACTCAACGCTTGTCCCACGTGTATTTGAACGACTTCTTCCTTCGTCGCTTCCTGAAATCACAATTCATATTTTCTGGAAAAGTCGGAAAAAAGGATTGGAAGTTTTCAGAATAATTTCAAAGAAAAAAAAATCACAGAATCATCAAGCAAAATTGAAAATCATATTTTGAAACATTTTCATGATGAAAACCTCTAAAGGACATTGGCGGGCTCGTAACTTTTTCAACAAAAAAGTCCCGCCCTTTGAGTATGTCAATACTGAAGATCAGTTTTTTATTCTAGGTTTTTTAAGTCTTTAAAAAAATAAACTGTAAGCTACAGTATTCAAAACATTTTTTTTCCGAAAATTGATTTTCTGAAAATTCGAAAATCGGAACCTTCATTATCGTTCCACTCATAGAAGCTCACACTATACGTTTACTTGGAGTTCACTTATCTCGGTTCCGAAGAGAGATATGAAAAATCTGTCAATAGATAAAATTTGTTTTGATAACATCACCAATTTTTTATCAGTTAACAACTTTTTGATGCCTTTAAAAAGAACCGAGATAATCGAGTTCGGACGTACGGGGTGGGCTTCTATGGATTAGAGAATTTACGGTATTTCTAATCAATCTTCTTCATTTATCGTTGTTGAAGATATCGAAAAAATCTAGGAGTTTTTTATGCTTTCGTCAAAACTACAGTAATCCGCTAGCGTTCTCACTATCAGAATACAGTATATAGAACCTAAAGCTGCAGCAGGGTTCTGTAGTCAGTACATTCAAAGACATTTAAAAACGATTCGAAACATGTCTAGATCGTTGTTATGGTCTGTGTAAATCATTACTAATAACATTCAACAAATTCCGTATGTAAGGATGTATGTCGCGTGACGGTTAGCCCATTCAAAGTTAATCGCTTGAGCTGAAACCTGGACAGGCGAATCAGAAATTTTTATTAGTTTAGGCCCGACCCTTTCTATTTTCGAAATTTCGATTTTGAAGTCTTGGGGGAGGAAATCCCACACACGTGTACGCCATTTCTTTTTACTGTGGCGACCCGTGGTGTAGCGGTTAACGCACTGTGCTTTTGCCCGCGCTACGCGTTTTCGAGCCAGATCGGTGACAACTTTTTTGGTTTTTTTTGTAGAGAGTTCAGAAATGAATATGAAAATATCTGACTGTTTTTTAATCAGTTTGAATGCTTTCACCGATATTCAAATCTTAAAAACTTTAGAATTTTAGAGTGTTTGAGTTTCCAAGTTTTGAATCTTCTAATTCAAATTTCTTGAGTTTCGAGATTTCCGGATCATCAGAAGAAATCAAAAAGGGAGAAATACAGGAATTTCGAACTATAGGAACTCTCAAAATCTCCAACATAGGAACTCTCTGAAGTTGAAAATCAAATAAGAACTGAAGTTTTTGAAATTAAGGTTTCAAACTGTGGACGTTTTGAATCCAAATCTCTGGCTTTACACCTCCTAATTCTGCCAACTTCTCGAAGTTCAAAAATTGAACACTTAAATATTCAAAACTTCAGAAGCTAGAGAATTTGGAAACTCTGAAACTTGAAAATTGGAAAAGTATGTAAGAGTTTTTGAAATCCTCAGTTCGAAAATAAAAGATTTCAGCAGTTTGTTTCAGTTCAGAAACTCGGATTTTTTTTAGAAACTCGGAAATTTTGAAATTTTCATCCGAGGTTCAATATCGAAAAAGAACTTTCGGATTCGCATATTTCTGAACTTTCAAATATAACACTTTTCACATTTTCAGTTTATAAATACCTAGGTTTCCGTTTTTCTGACTTCCACAGTTTTCAAATTTTTGAGTAATAATAATAATAATAATAATAATCATAATAATAATTTATTTGATTCAGGACTATCAGTCACTTATAAAATCAATGTGTTACAAATTAAACAAATGAGTTAGAAATTAGTATCTTTCATATTTTTCATAATCTCCTTCAATTTGAACTGTTCTCTTGGAAGAAAGACATATAAGGAAGTGAATGTCTTAATTTCGATTTCAACCATTCGAAACAATTCGTTTTCAGAGTAATTATGTTTGTATCCGGTATAACACATAAACTCCACATCATGAGAGTCTTCTGGCGAAGTGTAAAATTTCCTTTCGCTTGTATGGACCAAATCTATGAACCAACCATAAAAAGGATCATAATCGAATGAGTTAGTTATAGAAGATGCTGAAAGATGCATTTCTTTCAGGTTATATTTGCAGAACTAACAATTTTCGGATTCTGTCTGTACCTCCAGAAATAAGATGTCCATTTTCAGAAAGTCTTCAATTACAGAGAGTTCCAAACTGTGACGTCCGTATCTGAGATAACAATTTTAATTATATTTAACGGCTTCAGGTGTTGGGTATTTCTCTTCCGCAGCTCCGACTGTTCGTACCAGTATAATAACTGGGATATACTCACCGATGACAGTATTCGTCTATTTCTTTAGATTTTAGTGTATAAGGTTTCGTCATTTCAGCAGCAGGTCTTGTAGCCTTGAAAACACTTAATAAATCAATGAAATATTCTGTTGCATCTTCATCCGTCCCCTTTTCAAGGAGAAAGTCAGTAATTTTTGCTGAATACTCGGATGGGCGAGTTTGAAAAATGGAAAAATTCCGAGCATGATTGTGACTGGAGAATAGACAAATGAATCGGTAGAGACCAAGTTTTAGACAGATTGAGAGCCAGATTCATCTCCATTTGAAGCCGTGGAATGGGCGGGGCTGAAAATCAGCTAAAACTTTGAAAATTAAAAGGTAATAGCTCACCATTATATTTTTTCAAATATGAGCTGAGTTCATCTAATTTCGATTCCATTCTGTCTAATCTTTGTTGAATCGGATGCAAAGACTTATTTACAATTGATTTGAGAGTTGCTTGAAATTTCAGAGAATCGAGGAATTTGTCAAGAATGAGAGATGGATCAGAATCGTTATTCATGGTATATGAGTAATTGAGGTAACAGAAACAGCGATACGTTCCAATGAATGCAAAGGAAGGACGAATAGTACGAATGAAGTAAGCACGGAAAAAGGACAACAATAGGAGAAGAGAGATGAACGGAGAGCGAGACCCAGAGAAAAAGAAGTTCCGAACATAACTGTTGTTATTGGGGCATAGACAACATCATGCAATATCATAAAGATCATAGAATTTGAGACTCACATGGAATGACTCCCAAGTGTTACCCTTGAAAAAAATTGAGACCTATATAGTTGGAAAGAGCGTAAAAAGTTATTTTGGAATCCAAAAGGAATAGTTGATAAAAAATTTTTTGAAGAGTTATGGCCCAAAACGTACCAAAAAATAATTGGAGGCCCATAAAGAAATCAGTGGTCCAAAAAAATCGGAGTTACAATTAACTTAAAAACAAAACGTAATAAATATAAAAACAATGTAACACAAGAATGAATTTGAAACCGGAAAATAATTAATTGCAACTTCATTTTTTTGCACTTCCAATAAAGCCTAACTCGAAATTCTGTTCAAGCCGTTGATAAAATTAGGTTCTTCTAATAATGTTAAAAAAATAGTTTGGCTGTTTTCATCAAGTTTGACCATAGATATGCCCTATTACATGAAAAAATTCACTAAAAATTTGGATTTGGCTGTAATAATCGTAAATATTTCCATTTTTAGATCCTAACTCAAAATTCTGTTCAAGCCGTTGATAGAATTAGGTTCTTTTAATCATGTTAAAAAAAGAGTTTGGCTGTTTTCATCATGTTTGATCATAGATATGCCCTATTACATGTCAAAATTTTGATTTTTTCAAAGTTGCAATTTTAAGACATATTACGGCATTCGAATAATTGACTTTCTATGTTACTAAATTTTGTTTTAAACACTTTAAACTAACTATATGCATGTAAAAACCACAAAAACAAGTATGCCCATCGCCATACCGGCCGCCCAGGACAAAGAATTCAAAGCAGCCAAGTGCCAAAAATCGATATTTTTGCCATAACTTGTGTGGACATGATTTCTCCCGGGATATTGATATGGTTTAATAGTAAATTAAATGTGCTGAGTTCAATGGTTATAACAAGAAAAAAAAGTTAACTTGAGATTTTTGAGATATTGAAAATTTTTTCGGTTTTTTCAAAAAATCAATAATCCAATTAATGAGTAAAACATCAAAAAAATTTTTCAAAAAGTTCAATTGATTGTCTATCTATTGTTTTCTGAATTTCAACAAACGAACATAAACTGACAAAGTTATGATTTGTTGATATTATAGCCATTTTTTGGTACTTTGTGGACCATAACTCCCCAAAAAAAATGTTTTATCAACTATTCCTTTTGGATTCTAAAATAACTTTTTACGCTCTTTCCAACCATATAGGTCTCAATTTTTTTCAAGGGTTGGGAGTCATTCCATGTCAGTTTTCAAACAAATAATTAAAATTGATTAGTATACTGTAAATGCTCCATCATATACTTTAACTTTGTTTTCTCGGTTCCTATGAGAGATATCAAAAATCTGTCAACTAATAAAATATTCACCATAGTATCACCAATATTTTATCAGTTAACAGATGTCTAATATCTCCGATAGGAATCGAGATAGTTGAGCTCAAAGTGCGCGTATAGGGTGGACTTCAAATATAGGATTACTTTTAAAAGTATCCTAAAATTTTCCATTGGATTGTTTTTCTTTTTGGGTTTTCTATCTTTCTAAAGGGACTATTTTAAAATACACATTAATATTTTAAACCTTCTTTTTGTATTTTTCAATAATTATCTGAAAAAGTCGAAAACCCAAAACAAAACAGCTATGATCAGTTGATTCCACAAAAAGAAGTTTCATAAATTACAAAAACAGTAGTAAGAGGGGAGGGAAGGGGATTTAGTGGATTACTGTAATGACTTTCAGAGAGGGGGTTAAGTAATGTGTCGTGGAGATTAAATATATTCAATGTTACAGGGAATACAAACAAGATCAGTTTCTTCGAATAAAAATTTCTTCGAATAAAAAAATGGGCCAGGATAATACAGAATCATTGGGGGAACTTGTGATGAGATTTTGAGTGGATTCTGAAGTTCAGATGAACGTCTATTCGTCATCATCCTCATCATCGTAGTCTTCGTTGGAGTAGCGACGAGTTGGGCGGGACTTCCGGCGACCAGATGGAGCTTCCTTGAAAAATTTAAAAGATTAGAATATTACCAAAAACAAAAAATTCCTTACCTTCTTCTTTCCAATAATCTCCTCTTCCTCCTCGTCATCCTCTTCCATCGGCTCTGGCTCCGCCTCCTCCTTCTCCGCCTTCTTCTTTCCAGAACTTCCAGCGGCAGCCGATGTGGATGGCTCAGAAGCCGCAGACGTCGATGGCTCATCTTCAGTCTTTGCCACCTTCTCCTTCGTCTCCTCCTTCTTTGTCTCTTCCTTCTTTTTCGGTGTTGACTGGGCAGCAGCAGCAGCAGCCATGAATGCCTGCAGCTGAGCAGCTTGCTGCATCTGCTGGAGCATCATTGCTGCTGGGGTGTTTGCTCCTTGAGCTTGTGCCGCCGTGGCAGCTTGCATCTGGAGCATCATTGCTTGAACCTGAGCTGAAGTTGCACCGCTTTGCAGCGCAGTAATTATCATCGCTTGCTGAGCTGGTGGCATTTTGCTAATCGCAGTCATGAAGGCTTGTTGTTGAACCAGAGCTGCAGCTTGTTGACGTTGACGCTCAGTGACACTTGATGTTCCGCTGGTAGATGGTTTGGACGCTGATGTGGATGGAGTCGGAGTCTCCTTCTCCTTTTTGACAGGAGTGGCTGGTTCTTCTGGTTTCGGTGGAGCCATAAACTTATCGTATTGATCTTTCCACAACTTCAAAATGATCTTCGAGTGCTCCACAATAACACTGCCCTCCTCATTGTACAATGCAGCATTATTGACCAGCAACTCAATATCATCATTAACTTCTTCCATCGTAGTATAACGGCCAGTTTCAATCTTCTTGTTTATTCTATCGAAATCCATCGGCTTCGTCACAATTTGATAATAGTCTGGGAGCTCCTTTCTTGTTGGAAGAGTCTGGAATGGTTCGACAATCAGCGCTTCATCTTCATCCGTATACTCCATGATTGGCGCGAGCATTTCGTTGATCTTCTCAACCAACTCTGGATCCGTCTTTTTCTTCTTATGCGCCAAAACCACGTCATCCATAGTGTCGTCATTCTCATCGAGACCCGCCAGCTTTCTTTTCCGTTGTTTCTTCTTTTCAGCAATATATCGTTCGTTCTCGTCTTCAACCTCTTCAACTTGCTTCATGAACTGCTCTTCAGACATCAGGTCGCCAGAGTAGTCAACCTGAAAAAATCAAAATTTGTTTCATTACGTCTCATTTCAATTCAATTTAACTCACCTCCTTTCTGCGTCTTCTCTGATTCGGTGTCTCGTTGACAATCTCTCTTCCCTCTTCCTTTGCCTTTTCGAGTTCATCAAAATCGAATGACTGCTTCACAATGTCTTCTGGAATCTCTTGCTCCTCTAGAAGGCGTGGCTTACGGTGGAGCTGATTCGCCTCCTCACGACGACGATCAATATCCATGGATTGGAATTGATTAAACTCCTCCTCGGATCGAGCAACCATCTGATTCACAGTCTCATCGTCTGGCACAACCTCTTCTTCATCCTCCTCTTCATCAGCCTGGATGATTCTCTCAAGCATCAGCTTACGCTCCGCCCCTGTGGATCTTTGATCGAACTTTCCAGCTTGGATAACCTTCTCGTCGACGTTCAACTTGTAACGAGCTACAGCCAACATCTTCTCTTCCACAGAATTGGCAGTGATCAGACGGAGCACACGTACTTCCTTCTTCTGTCCGATACGATGGGCACGATCTTGAGCTTGCATATCCTGATGAGGATTCCAGTCAGAATCAAAGATAATGACAGTGTCAGCAGTTTGAAGATTCAATCCAAGACCTCCAGCTCTGGTTGAGAGCATGAACAAGAAATACTCCGAGTCGGGAGCATTGTAAAGAGAAAGAAGATCTCCACGCTCATCTGGCTTCGTGGATCCATCCAAACGAAGGTAGGTGTAGTTACGGAAGTGGAGGAAGTCTTCAAAGATATCCATCATCTTTGTCATTTGGAAGAACATCAAAACACGATGTCCTGAAGCTTTCAGCTTCGGTAGGATACGATCCAGAAGCTCCAATTTTCCAGCCACACGCATCAATTCCTTTCCATTGACCTCGTTAACCTTCCAGTGTGCACGGCAAGAGTCCTCAATGTTCTGGAAGAGGAATGGATGGTTGCAAAGTTTGCGAAGGTGAACAATGGTGTTGGAGAGGGAACGAGCTCCAGATGATGCCTTCGCGTCGAGCAACAATCCCTTCTTCATGTGACGGTAGATGACCTTCTGGAGTGCCGACATGTCACACTTGATGACGTATTCTGTCTTATCTGGCAACTCAGATTCGACCTCCTTCTTCAGACGACGGAGCAAGAATGGACGGAGCACTTTGTGCAATCTTCTGATGATCAACATTGTCTCTTCCTGATTCAATTCCACTTTTTCTCCGGTTGTCGCAAACGGAGCATTGAACCATTGCTCGAAAGTGTCACAGGACGAGAAAATGGACGGGAGCAGGAAATTGAGAAGAGCCCACAGCTCAGGAAGCTTATTCTGAAGTGGAGTTCCAGTAAGGAGAAGACGATGTTGAGCGTGGAAGAATCCGTTGAGCATGTTTGTCAGTTTACTGTTGTGATTCTTCAAACGATGTCCCTCGTCAATGATCATGTACTTCCAGCGTATCTTTCCAAGAAGTGACTTCTCCTTTATGACGTACTCATAAGTGGTCATCAGAACGTTGAAGTCCACTTTACGGATCTGTCCCTCAACACGACGACGAGCATCTTTGGTTCCCTTATAGATGACTGATTTCACATTTGGAGCCCATTTGGCGAACTCGGATTGCCAGTTGGAGAGAGTAGACAGTGGAACAATGACGAGATATGGTCCATTGTTCTGCTTGACTTCCATGAGGTAGGTCAGAAGGGAGATGGTCTGAAAAAATATGGGGTTTCGATCTCTCTACTTAATTTGGGGCGGGGAAGGGATCCAAGCCTAAGCCTCTTCACCGTCTACAGTATGTCGGACCCAAATGATAAAACAGTTGGCAACTCACCTGAATAGTCTTTCCGAGACCCATTTCATCAGCCAGGATTCCGTTCAAATTGTTGTTGTACAACGAGACCATCCACTCGAGACCCTTCAACTGATATGGCTTCAATTGGAGATTCGGATCTCCACCTCCCATTGTCTCATGCTGTTTCACAACCTTTTCCTTAATCTTGTGAGCAGTGGCATAGTAGTCGGCTTCCTGCTTCTTCGACTTCTGATCGTACTCATCCTCCTCATTTCTAGCCTTCTCAATAATCATCTTTGCCTTCATCTCCTCATCCATTCCAGCGTACTCATCTTCCTTCTCCTCTGGTGGCTCAGCAGGAGCCTCTTCCTCGTCATCCTCATCGTCACTGAGTTGATCTCTGGGAACGAGTTGGTATCCTGGATGAGTCTCCAGCCAGATGTCAATCTCTTCTGGAGTTGGCGCTTGGTCTCCAGTCAGAATCTTTCCGGTACTGATCTCTCGAACGTGGACACGAGCTTCATCATCCACCTGATTGCCCTTCTCGATTCTCTTATCTTCTCTCTTTTTCTTCTTCTCTGTTGTCTGATGTTGTTTGAGAAGAGAGCAGAGGGAGTCGACGTATTCATCAGTTTGCTGAAGAAGATACACAAGACGTTGATCCTTCTTCTCATCAAGAAGTGCACGATATCCTTCTTCATCTTCTTGCATAAGTCTTTGCATACGAAGTTTCTCGTTACGAATCTCATCCTTCTTGCGTTCACGCTCATTGTTCTGGTGGTAGGTCCAGACGGCCTTCTTGGCTTTGTGAGTCTTGATGAGATTATTTCTATGGTACTCCTTGAAGTCCTTTCCATGCTGAATAATGGCTTGCATCAAATCAGTATGCTTCTGTCTTCTCTTTCTTTCCTGCTCCATCTTCTGCTGCTTTTCAAGAGTCTCTGTTACTCTGGCCTCTCTCAACGATTGACGTTTCACACGACGGTAGGCAAATGGATTCAGAGCAGTCTCCAGGGTGGTATCTCTCTTCATACAAGACATAACTTCACTGCGAACCTGAAAAAGTTAGATGTGTAGGTGATAGATCAAGGGTACTGTAGTTTACCTGTGTTTGCAAGTTGACAACTCTCAATGCTCTCAGCTCAATTTCAGCTTTGAGTTTCATGTGCTCTGGAATGTCAGCTGGCAGATTGCATAGAAGCTTCATTCGGAGACCAATCCGGTTCTGGATGGCATTCTCTCTCTGTTTCAACATTCCAGCTGGGTCGATTCCAGTTGGTGGAGCAATGGTAGTCGGGCGGTTGCATCTGATCTGGTGGAGACTGAAGATCTGAAAAAGAGAGAAGGTAACTAAAAACTTCTAGAATATTCGAAAAACCAACCTTCATCAAGTCATATGGCAACTTCTCTCCGCTTTCTGACTCTCCTGGATACTCATAAGGCTCTGGGAGTAAGGTGGTGATCTTCGGACGGAGCATCACAGCTTCAGTGACCAATGCCTCTGGTACTGGCTCATTTCGAGCCAGTAGTCTATACGCGGACACTTGAGCCTTCAACTGAGCCAACTGGGCCGGAGTGATTTGTTGGCTGCCTCCTGGAGCCTCCTGTTGACCTTCAGGCATGCCAGCTTGCAACTTCTGCTTCAGAAGCAGTGCCTTCGCGTGACGATGATCATTCTGAAGACCTTGCTCTTCCATTGAGGTGATTGCATTTTCCAGTTTTGAGATGGTCAACTCTTGGCCTTGTCCAGGATCGCCAGCTTGTTGGGTGACGACTTCGCCGGCCGGTTGCGGTGGTTGAGCAGTGAATTGCTCGAATGCCGGACGAGCGCTCATCGTTGGTGTGGTGAGTTCTGGTTTTTGGGATTCTTTTCAGATTTCTTGGTTTATCTGAAAAAAAAGATAATTGAGGCAAAGGATGGGATATTCGGGTAAGAAGGTATCAAAGAATAAGAAAAAATTGATACAAAAAGGTATTTTTGAGTTGATTTTGACCACATTCAGGTGTCTGGAGCTCGGCTGTCAAGTTTCCGATCGCTCTGAAAACTTTGTAGGGTGTAAAACTGACCTAGGTGGAAAACTTTGCATTTGCAGAATTTTTCGAAAATTTGTAGTTTTCCAGCTTTTTGCAGATTTCCCAAGGACACCTATTTTCACGTTTTCAGTACAAAAACGGGAAGTCTTCCAGAAATTGGCAAGTAGCTGAAAGACTAGGAATTTTCTAGAAATTCTGGGCATGCAAAGTTTCCGGTCTAGGTTTGTTTAACACCCTCTAAAGTTTTCAAAAGAATCGGGACCTTGACAGCCGAGCTTCAGAATCTTGAAAATGGTCAAAATGGCCGAAAATTATTAGAAAAATACGTTCTTGTATATCTTATTGACCGGTACTGTAGGTAAACAGGTAGCGAAGAAAATCAATAGGAGCCAACAAAAATATGTCGAAAAATCAATGAGTTCTATGACTGCCAATTTGAATGGTACCGAGGGTACAGTAGAGCGTATTTGCTAGGGCCACACAGTGCACCAAAAATCCTTCTGGGAAGGACACTGTCCGTGAGAAGGACTCCGATTCAAAAAATTTTGGAGAAAATTAGGTTTTTAAGAAAAGGCAACTTCACAAACCACATCATAGCAAGCAACTGGAACATATATTCCTTCTATAATGAAATATCGCAACAACAAAAAAGTGGAAAAAGAAGAGAAAAGAAAGGGGGAGGGAAGGAAGAGATAGCGGGCAAAAAGAGGAGATTCCCGTCATTGAAAAACATAACAACTTTCGGCGCGAATTTGAAATTTATGAAAAAACTTCGTTGATTTGACCTACCAAACTTCTAGGATGTCTATTTTCTACGAAAAAAAAATATTTGAATCCTTGAACTTTTATAGATTTTGGGAAACACCAAAACTCGATAAATCGATATTTGTACATATCCTGCTTTATCCAGCTTTCTGCCGAGAATTTCAAGATTTCTCATCAAAATTATTGATCTTTTGATCAGTATCTAAAACCTATACCCGCCAAAAATTTTGAAGGAAATAGGCCGACTAGGACCGAAAATGGGCCAGAAGGCACAGACTCCCAAGGCCCTCTACAGAAAATTTTGTGGGTCTGGCTGGGGCTATTTGAATGGCCTGCATACAACGCGCGCGCACACACACTGGTTGGACCGCTCAGCAGAAGAAGAAGAGAGGGGAGAGTGTGCGGCGGGGAGAGACGCAGCACACGCCGCTCGTCAGATGTCTGCGTCTCTAGTTATGGGGAAGAAAAAGAAGAAGAAGAAGGACGGGGAGGGCGATACGAGCGAGGCCGTCGGGTGGGGAGAAGAAGAAGAAGAGAACGGGGAGGTTGATTGTGCGCGAGTGGCTTGGGGGGGGGGGGGGGGGGGGAAGAAGAAGAAAAAGAAGAAGAAGAAAACGGGCCGGAGGAGGACAGCAGATGGAAATGAATGGGTGTGTGAGGGGGATTACGGTAGAAGACGTCGTCAGGGGGAAATGAAATGGATAGCGATGTTTTTGGATGAAACCGGGGTTTCTTTCAAGTCCCAAATAATTTTAATGAAATTTTCTGACTTGTACTGTTAGAGAGGAATAAAATATGTGAAAATTGGGAAAAAAACATGAGGGGAGTTCTGACCAAGGAAACAAATAAGGAAGAGAGTGCAAAAGATGAGCGCTCTCTTAGGAAGGTAGATCACAAATATTTTAAAAAGTAGATCAAATATAAAACTTATGAAAGTATGTATAGAATGCAACATTAAGTCGAAAAATTCTTCTCGCTGGTTTTTGAAAAACTCTTGATAAAAATTTGTTCAGTGAAACCTCAAAAAAAAGTGTTCCTAAAATATTCTGCCCTTTAAACAGTGTCGAAACTTTGAAATTTTCAAATTTTTCTTCAATGAGTCCTTCAAAAAATTTTGAAATTTCGAAATCGGAACTGGGCCGAAGAATTTTTCATTTTGACTCTGCCAGGGCCGGCCCGGCTTTCGAAAAGAATGCTAAGATTCACTTGAGCCAAATGTGAACAAAAATGAAGAAACTTAAAGTCAGTTTTTCTCGGATCCTGTAAAAGATATAAAAAAATCTCAACTGATAAAATTTTTATCATGATATCAGCAATATTTAGCTAATTGGATACTTTTTTATATTTTTCACAGGAATCGAGATAATTAAGTTCAAAGTTGACTTTTTCAGCGGGCTTCTAGAGCAAATACGGTGTCTTTGTTCCGGAAAGAAATATCAAAAAAAACTTTCCACCAATTAAATGCTTGTGATTTTATACTACAAAGTTTATAACTGTCAAATTTTTACTGCTATCTTGCGCCTTTTTCAGCGGTAACAGTCAATTTTGGACTTTGGAAATCTTCATTCTGATGAGATATGCCAAAAACAGCACTTTAAAAAGATGAAAGATTAAAATATCCATACAATTCATTTAGATAGATTTAACAAATCAGAATTTTAAAGTTATGGGATCAACGAGCTCCAAACGCAAGAACTCTAAAATTTTGAAATAATCGAATCTGGAAGAATCAGTAGCTTGTGATCTTACAATTTGGCTTTCAATGATTTCATGGCCCAATGGATGTAGAAGTCAAACGACTCAAGTTTGTGCTAGCATAAAATTTAAGAATTGCGTTGTACTGGGCTCAAACTCGCAGTGCAAAAGCTCAAATATTTTGTCGGTAAACTGGTCAAGTTTCAAATTATTTGATCAACTTTGTTTCATAGTATTTTCGCTTTCAAAAACAACATTTCATTTATCTGGGGAACGATTTATTTATTTTTACACTTAATTTTTTTTTGGATTATTTGCAAAAAATAACTTTCTGAACTCAAACATGGCTATGTTGTTGAAAAGGGAAATTGAATAGAAGAAGAAAGGAATCTACACAATTTTCAAAAAAAAAACAACACTGGAAAGCTCATATGAGAAAAAAATGTGGGAGAAAAGAGCTGCAAAAAATTAAAGGATAAGAAAAAACTGTGGTGGGAAAAGAAGAAAGCCGTAGTGTCATCAACATCATCAAAATTAAAATTTTAAAGAAAAAAGTTTTAAATCCATTATCCACAAAGATGGGGAAGTCATGGATTGAGGATATGCTATACACAGACATTTGGTGGTTTTGGGGGGGGGGGAAGAATTTTCGAGAAAATTATGACACATTTCTCAAAGAAAGAAAAAAAAATAAAAAAGGGGAAAGCTGCAGAAATAAAAAGACCTAGAAATCTGAGAGTCTTCTGAACTGAAAACGTTGTTGTACGTGGATTATAAGGTAGGAAGAGGGGAGGACATCGGGATAGACAGATCGACAGATAGACAAGCTTCGGGGGACTAGATTCAGTCGTATTCAACATCTACAGCATCGGATTCATTCGGATGACGTCTGGAAACTATTTGACATTGGATATTTATTACGAAGTTCTAATATCCTAAGATTCTGAGATTCTAAGGTTCTGAGATTCTGAGATTCTGAGATTCTCAGATTCTCAGATTCTCAGATTCTGAGATTCTGAGATTCTGAGATTCTGAGATTCTGAGATTCTGAGACTCTGAGATTCTGAAATTCTGAGATTCTGGGATTCTGAGATTCTGAGATTCTGAGATTCTGAGATTCTCGGATCCTAAGATCCTAACTTTCTGAAATTTTTTAGATCGAAAATGGTACAAAAAGTTACCTTTGTTGTCCGTCTATGCGGCTGATGGTCACGTTGATTCCTAGGTTTCCATTCTCTGAAACATGTCAGAATCAGATCCAAATTTCAAGATTCCGATTTCTTACCTGCGAAAAGCTGTGCTGCACTAGTATCAAAAGCCAAACAATCCGATTGTTGAATCGCAAACGCAACACCCTCATGAATGGATCTTGGTGTAGCTTCCCACGACATTCTTCTTCTGTTTGCAGACAACTCCAATCGATATACAAAATTATCAGCCTCCTTCTTCGATCCAATCAATTGAACAACCGCATAGAACATCTGAGTCGACTGAGCAGGATCGTACTTTTCCTGTTTCTCCAGTACCAACATGAAATTGTAATCGAAGCAACTTTGCATCATAACCCAATCAACAGCACCCGGAAGATTGATATCAGTAGCCAAAAACACAATATCCTCTCCTTGAAGAGTTGTAATACTCTTATGAACTTTCTTCAAATGATCCATGACATCAGCCAGTGCTCCTTGCCATTTACAGCTTGCTCCAGGGCATGGGCAGGAATACGGGCGGTATTCACACAACTCCTCATGATCCATTTTGTCGATGTGATGGAAATTGAGAGGACATCCAGAGTTTGAGAATTTGCATGGAAAACGAACAGTGTTGGCGATCTTTTCAAGGCCCAGGTTGCGAACGGATGCTGAAATTAGTTGGTTTTTTAGAGGAAGGAAGAACTGAAAGACTTGAAAACTTTAAATTGCTTTTTAGAACTTTCCAGACCGCCTGGAACTCATGTTTGCAGGGGTTCAAGTTTTTAAGTGATTCTTCTCAACTCACCCTATATGCGCACTTTGCGCTGAATTATCTCGGCTCCCATGAAAGATATGCAAAGTTTGTCAACTGATGAAATATTTGTGATATCAGTTAACAGATTTCCGACATCTCTTATAGTAACCGAGATAATTGAGGTCAAAGTTCTAGTATTGGTACGGAACTATTACCTTTTTTGTCTCGTTTACAATTACAGGATCTTTGATAGGTAGGCTTTGGAGTAGCCACATTTTTAGGCATATTTCTGTTTAGAGGCATAATCGTCAGTGATTCGAAAACAATTCATCAGATTCGAAAACGAAAAAAGATGTGTGACTGATTTCGAAACTGACTCATATGACATTCAAATCTAATAAGCTGCCATTTGAACGGTCTCTCTCTCTCTCTCTTTGCCATTACTCTATAGATTTAGAGTATTTGCTCTGGCTATTACTTCAAAGATGATAATTCGAATTTCAAAAGTTTTGAATCAAAACTCACGAGTTGGTCCACGGCAAGTTGGGCAGCACTGAAGTTTTGGTCGGCAGTTCGAGCACACCAAATGGCCAGATGGGCATTGCATGTATGGTGGTAGCATGTATTCCAAACAAACTGGGCACTCGAAAACCGATAGAATTTCAGCACTGCTATCATCTGCACCGGCTCCGACGATTGGGATGTGTGGAGCGACGCTTTGCATGGCTTGAGCGACGGTTGGTGTCGAGTGGGTTGTATTACTCGGCGAGCTTCCTTGAATTCTGGCGAACGTCTTCCCTTGTTGTACGGTTCCCGAGGTTACTGTAACCGACGGTGCCATCACAGATGATGGCGATGATATTCGGGGTGTCATCACTTGACACTGACTCGGGATTGTCACCGATGGTGTGTTGCCTGCAAATTTGGAGTTATAGAAAGCAGATTAGCAGATAAGGGTGATTACGGTTGGTCCAAGCAATTAGAGACTCAATTAGTGAAATACTTGGTAGACAACATTTGGATCTCATGGAGATGGGGGTGGAAGAAAAGAGAAAGCTCCGGAGTGTTTTATAATCATGAAGAAAGCAAAAGAAGACAAAAAGAAGCAGCTCATGAGAGATCGGAACATACGGCGCGTGGTTCAAAAAACGGCGGAGGTGCAATAAAATTTACGGATACATATGTCGATTATGAGTCAAATATTTCTAGACAGCTACCTGCTCTTTCTAATCGGAGACACTGAGAAGCTAGATCATCTAGCTTCTCTGCGTCTCTTACTAGCCCTCGCTCCCTCCCCCTCACAGAAGGTCAACCTATACTTTTACTTTCAGCTAATTTACCTCGGTTCCTGTGAAAGATATCAAAAAGTAGTCAACTGACAAAATGTTTCTGATATTATAATAAACATTTTGTTAATTGACACTTCAGGATATCTGTTATAGGAACTGAGATAAATTGGCTCAAAGTGCAAGCATGAGCTTCTCCGAACAAAATCTGTCAAAATGGTCATTTGTAGTTCCTTAAAGTGGGAAACAAAAGAAAGCGATTTGCGTCCGCTTCGGCTCCTAATTGGTGTCGTTTAGTCAGTCAAATGTACATGTGGGGGTTTGGTGTATTCCGGATGAAAGGGTACCAAGAGAGAGCTGGGAGCTTAATGACTGCGGAGCACGCGGAGAATGGATTATGTATACCTTTTAGAAGGATCCAAGTGGTTTGTATGTCAATTTTAAATGAGAAGGGTCCCTAGGCTTTTAGGTTTCAAGTCTACATAAATATGAGAAAAATTAACTCACCATTTTGGTTATTAGACATCTCGTTGTCTCTTCCTCCTCCTCCAACAACCATGTTATTCAGACGATGGTGTTGAGACGCTGAGCTTCTCTGTGACGATGCTGAAGACGACGAGGTGACAACCGTCGGAATCTCGGGGCCAGCGTTCTCGTCCTCCTCGAAAATCAGCTGAGATCGTCGCAGCGATTCGATCACCTCCTGATAATCACCTGCACCGCCTCCTCCCTTTCGATTACTCATCAGCGACGACGCTGACGAAGCTGAGGGCACGCCAGATGATGGTGTTGGTGGTGCTGTTGAGGACGTTGAGGATGACGACGATGATAGCGGATGGTTGTTTGTAGATTGATGCCGTCGTCTTCCCGTCGTCTCTGGAAATAAATGGTTATTGATTAATGTTGAGGGTTGTAGATGGAACGAGTAACGAAGGGGAAGCATGAAATAAGGAATTGGACAATGAGACAGGAGGAAAAGGTTGGAAAGATCGCATTTTCAGAGAACCATGGATAGGATGTTTAATAGCGAACGAAGCAACGATAAGACATAGGAAAAAGAAGAAGGCAGGGGTAGTTGTGACGTGGCAAGGTAGGAGGGGCTAATTGGTCTTTTTTGTCAGTCATAAATGGGTGAGGGCAGCTGCCCAGCAGGTATCATAGAGAACAAAAATTTTCTGCATACTAAGAATCGGTATCTAACCTACAGTACCATTTTTAGGAAGTTTTGGCATTTGGTTGCTTTCAAGCAATGCATCTCATGTCGCTGGTCCGCTTTCCAAAAATGGGTAGCTGACCTACTGTACCAGACAAAAGATATTCCAGTTGGATGCATTATTACGAAAAAGTTGTCAACTACGAAATCGAAGCTCTATATTTTTGTTCAGTGGGGTTTAAATTTTTTAGCCTGATACAATAAAATTTAATGTAGTTTAAAAAAGCAGAACTTGGTCAAAAGTTAGGAAAACCGGATGATCGGCGGCTCAAAAACGGACGAAACGCAATTTCAGTAAAACGGGAAGTTGGTAAATTTATTTAAAAGTTTGTTCTGTCCTGTATATAATAATTTTGCTAATAAAAGTGATAAATAACACAATTAAATATGTATCTACCACTATTCGGACGTATTCAGTTTGAAATTGTTAAAAACGGACGATGAGCGGCTCACGCTGTCGGACCAATATGACAGGAAAAGACAGGGTAAGAGAATGAAAAAAAATCAATTAAAGAGAGCAATTAGGTCGGTTTACTCAAAGAAAAATGGTTTCTGACATGATGTGCTAATTACCAGCCAGTGACATAAATCTGATAGGTACTGAAGAACTAAATTTAACTTTTTCAATTGTTTTGTATATCTAAATTGAGGGTTTAGTACCCCTTGTGCCCCAGGAACTTCAAAATCGTTGTACAGGTGGTCCACAAAAAGTTAACTATTTGAAACGGATGATTGGCGGCTCAAAAACGGACGAAATGCAATTTCATCAAAATCAAGAAACCAGAACTAATTGAAAATTATTGTTGATCATTTGTAAACTACAATGGGGAAAAATCAGGAATCGAACAAAAAAAGGAAATCGTAAAGCAATCAAATGGCTATTTTGGGAGAAGGTCTTTTGTTACAGAACTACATGGCCAAGAAAACCAATAAGTGAAAAACTAGTCCATTATCTTATCAATAGATTTACAAGGGTTGTGGGAGTCAGGTGCTGTTTATCATAGTGAATAAAACGTTTTTATGATCAGCAATTGACAAAATATGAACTAAAAACAAGAAAAAAGGAAGTGATTCTGGAAAAAAGCGTCCAATCGATTCTAAATCAGATGGGAGGGATACCCAGTAAAAGCGGGCATGATATATTACACTTTTTCTATCTTCTTTTTCTTTTTCTTCACCTGGTTTTTGTTTTTTTGAAAGAATAAGAAAAAAGGTTCAAATGGAACTTGTATATAACAAATTGAAAGATATCCGAGTATTATAATTTGCATAAAGTGAGTGAAAAGTGTGGAAGAAAAGAGAGAGAGAAAAAGAAGAAAATATGAAATAAAACGCGTTTCGAACGGTGAGAGACTGTATCTAACGGAGAGGATTAGAGAAATGCTAGAGAGTCATCTTCGCCTCCTTCTAACAACGAATGACTGGGTTTGCATTGGGAGAGAGAGTTTGAGACATTATGGATATGAGAGAGACTGCAGAGGGAGAAAGAGAAAATTAGAGAGTGTGGGTCGGGGAAGAGAGTGTCTCCCAGCTGACATGGCGACCACGAATGAGAACGAAGAGAAGAATCAAATCGATTGAGATGGAGAGAGAGAGAGAAAGGGGGGGGGCAGAATGAGATGAACGGATAAGAGAATAAGTTAGCGGATATGGTAGTCAAAATATATGATAAACGCACAAAAGATTGAAAAAAAGAAAAAAAACGATTGGGCCAACATTAAAATGATGAACAGAAGCATTCTATTGGGACCTTGGAATCCTTAGTCTGGGAATTGCGGAAATTCGAAAATCCGAAAATCCGAGAATCCAAAAAACCGGAAATCCCAAAAACTCTAGAAACTTCGTACAAGACAGGGATGATGAACAAAGGGAAAAACTCAGAACTCTGAATTCCAAAGTTTCTAGAACTCGAAATCTAAAAATCTAGAAAATCTAAAAATCTAAAATCCAAAAATCTGAAAATCGGAAGCTTCAAATCTAGGATATAGAAGTTATAAAACATTGAATCTTTGGATTTTAGAATTACAACCGGAGAGTTCGAGATTTTCAACTTTTCAGAATGCCCGATTCTAAGATTCTAGGAATCTGAGATTCTGAAATGCTGAGATTCTGAGATTCTGAGATTCTAGAATTTCAGAATTTCGAAATTTCAGAGTCCAGAATCATCTCCAACCAACCTGTATTTCTTCTCTTGACCTCTGTATTCGCCCGTCTCCTACCATTCTGATCGATCAGAGGAACTCTGTTGTGACTTAAAATAAATGATGATGACATACTCTCCAGACCAGGTACGGAAATGAACATTTCAATAATTTCCTCCTCATAAACAACCGGTTTCTTTTATACTATTTTTTATTGTCAACTGATGATTTTCGTAAAAATTTCACTTTCCGGGGGTTGAGACGGTGTCTAAGGAGAACATGGTCATACATTTCAAAAATCATGTGAACATTTCAACAAAAATTGATTAGAAGAATCAGCTGGTGTTATCAGGTGCTCATGCTCTTTAGAGACAAAGGGGGTCAATTATCAGAATAATAGAAATGACGTGTTTTTGAAGGAAAAACATAAATATTTGGAGAAACACTGTTCTGGGACAAGAAATGCTTTTTGATTCTAGGGAAAAATTATGTTTTGCAAAAAAAGATAACCCTATAAAATCCTATAAAAATAGTAACATGCCTTATTTTCTCTAAGCAAAGCCTACCGTATTCTTGTAATTCGAGCTCAATTATCTTGGTTCTTTTGCAAGATATCAGAAGTTTGTCAATTAATAAAATGTTTATCATATTAAAACCAACATTTTATCAGTTGTTATAGTAAGGTCTCATGGAAAGCAAGATAATTGAGCTCAAAGTTGAAAGTTAGGGGGTGCTCCTAATAGATGCGCACCTCATACGTACAGGTTGAGCTCAATTATTTCAGTTCTTATGAGAGATATCGAAATGTTGTCAACTGATAAAATGTTTATCATATTGTCGCCTATATTTAATCAGTTGACAAATTTTTGATATCTTTCATAGGAACCGAGATAACTGAGCTCAATGTGCACTGGGCATAGTTGGAAACCGGTTCTTCTTATAAGAATGGTATATAGTGAAAAAGAAGAACACAAACTTTTTTTGTATACAAATACACAAATGTTTTATACAATTGTGTGTTAAAACAATCGGGAAAAAAGACAAAACGTGAGAAGAGCACTATGAACATGAGTCAGAGACGGAAATGAAAAAAAAATGATTTGATTGAAAATTGAAAAATTTTGGCAAATGATGATGAAGACATTTCAGGGTGGAAACTGAAATTTTAGGAAAATTTTGAGATTCAAAATTTAAAATACTTTAAAAGATTTTTAGTTTTTGGAATTCTGAGGTTCAATTAGAATCCTAGAATCCTAGAATCTTAGAATCTTAGAATCTTAGAATCAGAGAATCTCAGAATCTGAGAATCTCAGAACCTTAGAATCTTAGAATCTGAGGATCGCAGAATCTCAGAATCTCAGAATCTCAGAATCTCGAAATCTCAGAATCTCAGAACTCAGAATCTCAGAATCTCAGAATCCCAGAATCTCAGAATCTCAGAATCTCGAAATCTCAGAATCTCAGAATCTCAGAATCTCAGAATACCAGAATCTCAGAATCTCAGAATCTCAGAATCTCAGAACTCAGAATCTCAGAATCCCAGAATCTCAGAATCTCAGAATCTCGAAATCTCAGAATCCCAGAATCTCAGAATCTCAGAATCTCGAAATCTCAGAATCTCAGAATCTCAGAATCTCAAAATCTCAGAATCTCAGAAACTAAGAATCTCAGAATCTCAGAATCTCAGAATCTCAGAATCTCAGAATCTTAGGTTTTTAGGATTTAAGAATCTCCAAATCTCAGAACCTCAATAACGAATCCCTATTTGTTTCATCATCATTGAATTCTATCTTCTTCTTCTGGAAAAAAGAAGAAAAATAAACCGAGTCACATTTTGTGTCCCCCATGAACACAACTTTTTGTGCTAGTCTGTGTCCAATCGGACTGCAAACACAAGTACTATGGCACCATATATAAAAGGGCAACGTGCTGCCACGTGGTAACCTAGAAAATCTACAAACGGAAAACCGATACGTGTCTCCTGAGCAGCACCGGGTTTGCACAGCAGATTGTCTACGTTCCGTCGTCTGCGTCTCTGTGATTTGTGTACTCTCTCACGTCGCCGAGAATTTTGTTGCGGTGAGTTTTTTGTGAAAAGGAAACTGGAGGAGCCGAGAAAAGGTGTTTAACAATGAATGGGACGAGTTTCCGAATAGGTAGATTGTGTCGATTAATTTCATGTTTTGGATTAGGTGAGGTGAGTAATTGGTTTGGTTTAATGAGCTAATTAAAGCACCGGGCCCATATCATTTTCAGTAGTCTGCGGCTCAACGGTCAAGTTTCCGATCACTTTGAAAATTTTGTAGTTTGTAAAACAGACCTAGATGGAAAACTTAGCATTGACAGAATTTTTGAAAATTCCTAGTTTTTGAGCTATTTTCCGATTTCTGAAAGGCAACTGCCTTTTCCCGTTTTCAGTACAAAAAGGGGCGTTTAGTAGAAATCGGCAAATACCTAGCTGAAAAACTGGAAAATTTTCAAAATTTCTGTGAATGCAAAGTTTTTAAACTAGGCCTGTTTTATACCCTTCAAAAATTTCAAAAAGATCGGAAACATGATAGCCGAGCTCCAGACTCCTGAAAATCATCAGAATTACCAGAAAAATACGTTTTTGTATATCTTATTGACCGGTACTGTCATCCAGAAAGTAGGTCACTAAAAGGTATTTATCTGTTTTCCTTCCGGTCATAATTTCTTCTGCATACATAAGCAAAAAGTGCAAATGTGCTCCAATGAGAGAGTATTTCCCCCCTATATGTTTATTATGGGGTTATTCAGGGAGTCGGCAAAAAAGGAAAAAACTCCGCGAAAACTCGGAGAGTGTTCCAATCAAGCTGAAACTTTGGGGAAAACTGGAGAAAACTATAGAAAACATTTTGCCATAGT